AAAGAAAATAAAGAAAAAACGAAAATAAAATAAAGAAAGAAATGAAAAGAAAAAACAAAAAAAATGAAAAGAAAAAGAAAAAAGAAATGAAAAGAAAGAAAGAAATGAAAGGGAAAAGAAAAAATGAATAGAAAAGGAAAAAAAAAGAAATTTAAAAAATAAAGAAATGAAAAGAAAATGATAAAAAGAAGAAAGAAATGAAATGAAAAATAAAGAAAGAAATGAAAGGAGAAAGAAAGAAATGAAAAGAAAAAGAATGAAAGAAATATAAGGAAAAGAAATAAGAAATGAAAAGAAAAAGAAAGAAAGAAATGAAAAGAAAAATAAAGAATTAAAAATAAAAAGAAAGAAATGAGATGAAAAGAAAGAAATGAAAGAAAGAAGCCAAAAGAAAAAGAAAGAATTGAAAAGAAAAAGGAAAAAAAAAAGAAAAAGAAAGAAATGAAAAGAAAAAGAAAAAATGGAAGAAAAAGAAAGAAATGAAAAGAAAAAGAAAGAAATGAAAAAAGAAATGAAAAAAGAAATGAAAAGAAAAAAAAGAAACCAAAAGAAGAATAAAGGAAAAGAAAGAAATGCAAAGAAAATAACACAATGAAAATAAAAAGAAACACCGAAAGAAAAGAAAGAAAAGAAAATAGAAAGATAGAAAGGAAAATATAATGAAAGAAAAATAAATAAATAAAAAAGAAATGAAAAGAAAAAGAAGGAAAAAATGAAAAGAAAAGAAAGAAATGAAATTTAAATTTATCTAGATAGGAAAAATCAATTAACAGAATAATATAATTTTTCTTCTACTCAGTCTAACATGTTATGTAAAGAAAACTCAAAACTACGAACTTGGAGAATACCCTATCTTATGAGCATGTAAAATATACAAATTTTAATAGAAGGCTATTCACACATGTAACATTAACATAAGACAATCTTTCAATCTTGGATCCAGATAAGGATTAAGAGTCGTAGGGTTACCACGTGTTCTGTAGCCGTAGCATCAAAGGTGTGTTTAGGGCAATAATTTACTTTAAAAATAAAATAAGATCTGTAATCGTTTTGTCGTACTGCGGTCGTGGCAGCAGTAGGTGTGTCTAGAGTTAAATAGTCTGAGATAACTCATTTTGGTTCAGACTGTTTTTTGTTTTTTTTTAATTCAGAGTTCTTCTCATAGAATGATTGCTAACCAAGACTAAAGAACACTGTTCTTATTTTCGCCTTAATCCATAGCTGAGTAGGAGAAACCAGATGGATTAATACGTTCCCCATGATGATTTGTGCGAAAGTGCACTAGACCGAAATTCGAACACGGCACGCCGGTTCCACTTACCGGAACGATATCCCCCTACAACCCCTCGCACACCCTACCGTGATATCCCATATTTACGTTCCATAAACAAATTTTAGGAGGACGAAAGAAAAAGAATTACTAAATACATTATTTTATACCCTATTCAAGAAATCTGCCAAATTTACTAGTGTAGATACATAGAAATGTCTTTCTTTTTTCTATTTATTAAACCGGAACATAAAAAATAAGAAACACTCTAAGACACTTGAGTACGGACGTGAGTTCAATCCCCAAATCAGCTAGCAAATCATTCTTTAAACGAAAACGAATAAATATTAACATCGCAGAGACGAAATAACGCAATTATCAATAGATATCTCACATCGATCAAAATAATGTATCTGATGATCACCAGAAGTTATTTGGCCGAGACGTCGTGTCTATAATATAGCAGACTCTTCTGTGGTATTCGACGTATGAGGGTGAAGCATCTCAGTTCCTAGGAACCGACAGCTAGACACTTGCACATATGATTTGATTATAGTGGTGAAGGCTTTGTGCAAAATCAACCACACATTTTGAGGGCCGAATACAGAGATCTGCTGCTCTACGTGCCACAAGGTTTCCAAACGACACTCCACAAGTTTTGAATTCAGAGTTGTGTCTTCTTCTAGACCATTCACCAACACAGTCTGCCCTGCTATTTACCCATAGCTGGGGAGAGAAGAAGAAATATGAATGATATTATCACGTAAGTGAATGTAATGGATTCGACTGGAATTCCAACTCGTCTGTTACTACTCCACAATAATTATTTTAAATCTCGTAGTGGGTTGTTGATATTTATAAATTAGGTTTCAGAGTCCAACATCGTTAGCAGCATTTTCTACGTGAAGTAAGAAAACTGTAGCATTGGTAATGGAGTCTGCATTGACAGCTAGGTCGCTTGTATCGTAAATATCGGTGAACTTTTTTGCAGGATATCGACTTGAGGGTCTTGATGATTAGCAAGGCTAAATACAATCTCGGGTGAATGAAAAAAATCTGTCGAATCTTTCACTTATCTCGAAAGCGAAATAAATGAAAAGGGCTCAATAAAATCGATGTAAGATGGAAATCTGATCTACCAGACAAACTCAAAATGGAGATACTTTCGATCCATTTTAGAGGCGGTTTTAATAAATGGTGCCACTGCTTGGACATTAACTAAAACTCGAGTGTCTAAACTTGATTGAAACTTCATTCGGATGCTATAAACTATTCTTAACATCTCCTGGAGATATCATACAAGTAAATCTATGGACCCATCCCTGATATTTCTAAAATCTTACGCGGACGCAGAAAGCGCTTTGCCGGACACTGCTCACTAACAAAATAAAAACTTGTGCGTGATCAACTGCTCTGGTCATTAGCCACAGAGCAACAGGGGTTGGTCACCCAGTAGTGACCCCATTGAGCGCCAATTTTGACCAACTATATTATATCACAGAATACCTCCCCTAATAGTCTTCAGATCTTGATGCAAGACCGTGGTGGCTGGAATGATAGGATCATGAATTTCCGAGCTAGCTAGATCGAATAATATAAAAAAAAATGTTTGTAATATTGTTGAATGTAATTTTTGCTCAAATATTAACAGGTAAAAAGTACGTAACATAAGAGAGGAAATCGTGAAGAGTGATGATCACCCACATCCGGGCATATGAAAGAAGATAAAAAGTATGTGTTGTGGATTTCGAGATGAATTCGGTCTCCAATGAAGAACAAACGCAATAATTAAATATAAGAAATAAAAAGTATTTACACAGTCATACACAGGGTAATACTGTTAGTAAATCCAGGAACACGGTTAGTAGCAAATACAGATAGATATATAGAGTCTCGAAGTAGGACTTCCTTAGAGTCTACGTGCTTGTAACTGACTTCTACAAGAGGTTACCTCACACTATCTCCGTTCGTATATTTTCTTTCTCTTTCCGACTACCCTCACTATCCGACTACCCTCACTGACTGTAACTCTGGGTATTTAACGGCAGCAGTCCAGGTGCACTGGTAGAGTCCACTTATAAGGAAAAGGGGTGGACCCCATAACAGTATGTTATATGAGTGGAACTTGACTTGTATTGCTTGAATAGTGCTGTCTCGTTATTTTTTTAGTAAAAGCTAGGTTAAAAAATGTTGATAGGTACAAGAGAGGAAGTTATGAAGGTCCTTATCACCCACATTCAGGCATAGACAGAAGAATGTTAAGTAAAATATTGTTCAGAGTTTGAATGGGCGAAAGCAACCAGAATGAGACAACGGCAGAGGAATTTGGTTCGTCAGTTTTAAGAATCGAAGACTAAAAATAAATCGGCGTGTAACGGGCGGGCTTTTGAATCAACGTCATTTTAGAATGGAATATTGCCACCAACATTAGACTCTGCATAAGCCAATAGAAATCACTCGCCAACAAAGACGTTTTGGACGGCAGAAAGTGGTTAATTTGGCAATAGGAACAATATACCGCTGACTGCTGATATGGCGGATTCTTTTTAATCATTATACCAAAAACAAGTTATTAAAGCCACTAGGCCGTAAGGGATTAGTGGAAGTGAAGAAATATAGAGGGCAATAAAAGAACAAGGAGATAGAAGATGACTACTGACATTATACTTGATAAAAAAACCGGGGAGGATTCCACAGACTAGAAGTGCGAGAGAAGAAACAGTTAGCATAAAACCTACGGTAATGGTAATATTAAACGTTTCGTTATGAGGAAAAAAGTGACCGAGCAGTCACTATTACTTTTCTTTGAAATTTATAAAATATTTCTCTTGAAATAATTTTTGGCATTGAATGACCCAAAATGGTTGATACGTATCAAACCCAAATAAACCAAACCTTTATTTAGAAAAGCAATTTCTCATGCCCAGTAGCTGTTATCGCTCTTTCCAGTATTGATGTGGATTTCCTTTTGAACATTCTATTTGATGTGGTGTGGAATGTTAGCATCTTGATTATGTCATTATTTTCTCTTCGAGTTACTTTTGCTATCCATTTTTTTGTTGTTGCAGCTGCTGCTGGTAGTCCTCAAGTGATGTTATTTCTGCTGTGGCTATGGTTAAAACATGCAGTTTCAATAATGAATTTAAGAGACCTATCGGCCAATCTAGTAGTGCACTTAAATTTGAAAAAGTCGAAGTAGCAACGAGGAAAACGCATCAGAAATATTACTAAAAAAAATATAGAAGAGGCAAAGGAAAGCTACGTCAGTGCGGTGGAAAGCTGCCTGAAGCCTAGATGCAAGGTCAAATCCGATAATATTTACGATTCTTTTTTGGATTCAGTTAAGAATCTCTAGATACATAACAGAAGCAGCCGACCAGCTGTGGCAGCAATATTCGATAGATGGACGAACAGTAGACTTACAAATAAACAAGATCAATTCTAGCGAGAAAACATTGTCTAGTACGACATTCAAGAAAGCATATCAAAAGTCAGGCTTACCACCTTGTCATGATGGGAAAGCAAGATGCAAGGGCAGTGTGGCCAAGTTGTTGTTTATTTATGTAAGATGGCCTTTCGTCAAGGTGATAGGAACAGGGTCGTTACAAATGTTTCTCTTGACTCACAGGCATGGTTTAATTAATCTGGTTAACTGTACTTTACGATGAAACGATGGACCGGCATACAACGAGTCTGACCTAGCTAATTAAAATAATAAATCTCACTGGCAATGGTCTGTAAGACAAGCATTTTAATCATAACTCTACACCATGACCCATTATCTATCTATCTATCTATCTATCTATCTATCTATCTATCTATCTATCTATCTATCTATCTGTTACTATAAATATGTTTACGTATTTAGAGAAAGAAAGAGAGAGAGAAACATATATATATATATATATATATAAAGACAGTGATAGTTTGTGAGAAAACAGAGAAAGAGAGACAGGGAGAGAGAGAATGAAAGAAACAATAATCTTTTATCTGTCTCTAGCTCTCTATATAAATATCTGAACACACACACGCATATATATATATATATATATATATATATATATATATATATATATACCTTCTATATATATATATATATATATAAAACTGACTATCTGTGTGTGTGTGTGTTTCATGAACTACTCGAGAGCCATAAGGCATATTTCCACCAAATTTGGAACATAGATTGTACTCGATACTGGGTGTGTCTGGACAAAAAAAATTAGTCATTTTTCAAAAAGTCAATAACCGATAATCGATAAATATAATGTTTAAATGGGAATTTCCATTAGTTTGGTTGTTTTTAAACTTTTAGACTTGAAGTCTAAACCCTGAGGCCGATTTTAATGAAACTTGATAACTGTATGCAACTTATTGTCAGGCTTGTCATGTGCTATATTGATTTTCGTTTCTCTTGACACTGGGACTCCAGGGTGCCCCAAAGGGGCCCAAAAAATTCATATTGCTTCGATTTTAATGAGGTTTTGCATATTTGTTACGCTCTTACAATAAGATAGAAATCGGTTGTCAGATTTTTAAAAATGCATTGGGGGGGGGGAGGATGACCCTATAAACCCTTTGATGCCTTAATTGCTTTTCAAGTATATTTTGTAGCAGTATTTCCCAATCTCAACGGAAATTTCAGTACATATTGAGATTATATCGAGTCACTTCGAATTCTTTGAAAATCAACACTCGGACCCCCACGAGTTAGGGGACCAGCAGGGAACCCCGAAATTTTCAATTAAGTCTATAGCCTTGGCCATAAAGATGATTAAAAAGAAAACTTAAAAAAGATGCGCTTTATTATTTCAATTACAATTAGTCACCTTTGGCTTGAAATTTGGGACCCCCAGGGTGAACCAAAGGGATTCCCAAATTTTCAAATTGCCTCGATTTCGACGGACTTTTACATGTACGTTACAATCTTAAAATGAATCAAAAACGATTATCAGATTTTGAAAACTCTTTCAGGGCTCCCAAATGACCCACGGACACCTTGCGAATTGCTTTTACATTCCGATGAAAAATTTTAAATTTGTGTTTAGATCAATCAACTCAAAGTCAAAACTAGCATGTCATTAAAAAATTCTAAATTTTCCCCGTTTTGGTATTGAAAAACGAACTTACAAAAAAAATTCTTATTAAACGAAAGTGTGCAAAATTTGTATAAGACGCATCAGTCGAGATTTTTTCTTTGCAACGATTTATGTACTATCGATTTTACTACCTGTATGTGGATGTATGAAATAAATGCAAAAAAATCTCATTCGCATTTTGTCATCCAGTAAAAGGTAGGCTACCTTCAAGCATGTATATTTTGAATTTTTGATTCTTTAATTTTAAATTTGTGAAAATCGTATATTAAAAAAGTTTAAGATTAAATGCCAATTTTTAATTATGTATTTACCATCTTCTAATCAGCGTTTAAATAATGCTTATATTTGAAACTTGAAAAAAATTTTGACAGTTTTATTCGTATTTTCGATTCATTTATATTTATGAAAATTCTTGTACGTTTTAACGTTCACAGTGAGTAGGTTTCTAGCTTGCACGTTAAATTTTTTTTTATCACTAGAACGTTTTTTTGGTAAATTTTAGATAAATCCTAACTTTACGACGTAATTTTTAAAAAGTTCGAAATAAACTTGCATTTAATTTATTGTGGCTATATTTCCATTAATGTGTTTAATATTCTTATTTTAATTGATTATTTCATTGTTATTCAAAAGCTAGAAAACTACAGCCTTGTAATGCCAAGAAAGTCCTTCACTTGGACGTGTTACTAACACCAAACGCATGAAAGAAATGGAGAAGAAAAGCCACAAGAAACTCAAATTAGATTGACACAAAATGCTATTCAAAAATCCAAGGTCAGAAAACTAATGAGCAACGGTTAACTAGATGAGGAATTAATACTGCCAGAACGCTCCTGGCCGAATTCGAGCTGTCGAAACTGAGGGGAAACATTTTTTGAATGTTGGTTTTCAGCCTTGGCATGGCTCGGAGAAGTTTTGTTGAATTTTTCCCTTCCAATGCATGTTGTTCATTCGATGATTTTTAGCAAAAGCTGTCAACAAAGCATTTCTCCTCAAGAATTTTCGAAGATCGATTAATTAATGTAATTTGGGACAAATTTTTTGTATCTTCTGTGCTTCTGTAAAAAAAAAAACTTTCTCCTGTCATAAATACTTCATGTCATTATAATTTTCGATATAAAGAGGCGCTAAAGAAAATATTTTAACTTTACAGATTGGATGAGGTTCGTGATCTTTTTGAATAAACCCAGGTAATGCTGCTAGTATATATATATATATATATATATATATATATATATATATATATATATATAGAGAGAGAGAGAGAGAGAGAGAGAGACAGACAGACAGACAGACAGACAGACAGAGAAAAGAATATGTGTTTTCCCCTGAGAAGATCATTTCAGTATGTATATATATATATATATATATATATATATTTATAATATGAATATATATATATATAGATAGATTGATAGAAATAAATAATAAAGAAAATTCAAACAGAAACTATCTGGATCTATCTAACTTTATTCATATAACTGTATGAACTTAAATAACAAAATATTTATGTGTGTTCGTGTATTTCTAACATTAGAAAAATAACCTTTGATACTTTTATATTTGTTGTCTATCTATCTATCTATCTATTTGAGGTGAATCTATCTATTATCTATCAACGTCCGTTCATATCTATCTATTCATCTATCTATCATCTATCTATCTTAGCCAGTTTATATCTATATATTTCCATCTATCTATTATCCTTTGAATCAACGTCCGTTCATTCATCTATCTATCTATCTATCTATCTATCTATCTCAGTCTGTTCTTTCATTTATTGGGTCATGCATATGTATAACCACACACACACACACACACACACATATATATATATATATATATATATATATATATATATATATATATATATATGCACTAAAGATAGATGACCAATCAATGAAGAATTTTTTTTTTTAATTATCTGTTTATTTACGCTGAGAGAGACATTTCATCAAATGTTATTAAACACAACATGATTGCAGTCTTCCAAATTTGGCTTCCGTCCAAAATCTTACCCAGTTCCTTTAAAACTGGCCGCCATATTATCTGAATCATTGATTGGATGCTAAACATTCACATGGAACACAAAACATAGGGCTATTCCCAAAGATAAATTTGCTTGACACTAGGCCACCACATAGTTTGGGGTGATCGACAGTACCGAATACACGATAGAAAAGAATGACTGATTTGTTTAATAACCCCATGCCGGGCGGGCGGGCGGAAGCAGGAAAAAATCCCGACGAGCCTGCCTTCCAAATATCAAATCGATGAATTGCCTGGTTTGCTCCAAAATAAATAACTGATTAAATTTTCTGTTTTCAATATTTGGAAAACGGATTTATAGGCCAAAATGAACTTGAAGGAATACATTACATCAAAAAATGGATATTAATTCTAAAAGAATTGTTAGGATAAGCTTTTTATTCTAAAAGTAAAGCAACGTGATTTTGATCCCACGAGTAAAATTTCAAACATATTGGAAAAAATTAAATATTTTTTTTTATATTGAGCAGAAATTCCTTTTGAAAGTTAAAAGTTTTGGTATATTTTTTATTTTCATATTTTCAAAACAAAACTTTTTAGGCAAAAATTTTATTTTCAAAACAAAACTTTAAATAGAATTTTTTAAATTCTAAATTATATATTTAGGCTGAAATTTTATTTTATGCGTGAAGTAAAATTTTCGAATAAAATTCTTATTTTATTTCAGAAAGTAAATATTTTAGAAAAATTCTGATTTTATTCTAAGAATAAAACATTTTAGGACAAAATACTTATTTGATTCTGAGAGTAAAGCTTTGAGTATAAAATTTTATTTTATTCTAAAGGTAAATCTATTAGAGCAAAAATTCTTAATTTATTCTGTGAGTAACGCTTTTAGGACAAAATTCTTACTTTATTTTAGGAGTAAAGTTTTTAGGAAAATATTGTTCCTTTTTCTGAATGCCGACATTTAGGAAAAATCCTTGTTTTATTCCTAAAAATTAAAGCTTTTAGGGAAACTTTTTTACTTTACACTAAATGTAAACCATTTAGGGCAACATTTGTTTTTTAAAGGAAATCTTCATGAACAATGATTTTTATTCTCAGAATAAGCACTTACGAGGAACAGCATGTTTTATTCTAAAATGAATGCTTTATGACAAAGGTTATATTCTATTGTAAATGTAAAGAATTTAAGGTATCAATTTTATTCTAAAATGAATGCTTTTGGGACAATTTTCTTTTTAATAAAAATGTATTTTTTATTTTATGTAAG